TTCGTATCAATGTGATATGAAAAGGTGGAGATATTCGAGATTTGCGAGCACCGTCACAGTTGCGTTTCGGCTTGAAAGGTTGTGGATGGCCTGTAGATTCACCCGGCAAGTGCAGAATCCCTCCAAGCCGACCTTTGGCCGGAGATTTGGGCTTGAACGTAGGACGTTCGCTCTCTAGGCTGGCTCGTCCATGGGCCGTCTCCAGGCTACTCCGGAGGCGATGAAATCTCTCTCGAACAGGTCCCGGAGAAGTAGCAAGTTTACTCCACCCTTTTGCACGGGTATCTGCCGTCTTGAAGTCATGCAGGGTGGATGATATCCGGTGCGCTGGCGGGGCTGGGGGCAGCGGCCGTTCCGTTTCCCATGGCCGTGGCACATTTGTAGACCCAGCACTCTGCACCGCCCGCTCCGCAATGATAGCTGCACTTGGGGCAGACGGATAATCTGCGCTTTTGCGCCCCGTGCTCTCTAGTTGCGGTGTCTCCAAGCACTGTGTGTCCTGTAGCGCGCTGCCGGCCGTTGTATCAAGCTGTAGGGGTGTTGCTCCAGGGACAGGCTTCCTCCGCACGCGGTTCAACAGAGCAAACATGTCATTCTTGCTTTTATCATCGCCTTGCTGTTCTTGCTCCTGCTCCCGCTCCAGCTGCAGCTGCAGCCGTCTCCTCTCCTCTTCCACCTTTCTCTCCTTTTCAATATCCTGCAGAAGAGCTTCGTCTCCGGGACCCGCAACGTGACAAAAGTAGAGCGACGCATTGATCGATTCGGGGGAGATGCTAGACTTCGTAGGCGGCTTCAGCGGCGACAAGAAAACATCTATGCTTCACACGCTTGGGTTATGAGAAACCCAGCATATTAGTTAGTTGCATGCATTATCCCCCCATTTCACCAGCAAAAACGTTTGTAAACATCATTGGGCAATTCACAAAAGCCCTTGCTGAAAAAAAGGGCACTTCGGTACCTTTGCTTCCCGGAACTCTCACGATGTACAATACCAGCGGCTCGAGAGCCTCCTGCGTTGGATTCCGCGGGTAGTTCGGCGGATTCGAGGCCAGGGTCGTGAATGAGAGGAGGGACCTGGCTTCGACGGGCTCAGAGGGCGCAGGAGGGGCTTGATCCTGGCTGGTGCGCGCCATGTAGAGTCGAACTGGAGTCTGAGTTGAGGACGGAGCAATGTCTGGATAACGGGCCAAAGTCTATCAAGGGAATAGAGATCTAGTCTCTTGTGTTTGCTGCGGTGGATGTTTTGCAAGGGCTCGCATCACGCTGTTTGTCGAGCAAGCAGGGCAATCAACGGGAATTCCGCGACTTCAAAGCACGGAATCGATGCGACAAAGAGCTCAGCCACCGGGACGCCAGGCAGCCAATTAACTATGGGGTCAGGTTGCAGGATGCCACTCTTTGGATTATGATATTTATTCACAGATGCAAGATATCGATCGTGCCTTATGGCATCTCTATATCATATACTCAATGCCATCATCCTCAAGCGTGGCGCTCGCCAGTCTGTGATTTTACTGAGTCTACAAACTTACCTCTTTGACTCCCGCATGGAAACAGCCGGCGATGGGGGCTACACGATACGAACGGACATTGGGCAATTGCAGCGCTGCGGATCTGACATCTTTAGAGACGCCGAGATGATGCAGTTGCTGCGCCTCAGATTGACGACAGCCGCCTCCGTGTTTGGCGATTCTCGATCTGACACAATGCCGGATCCAGGGAGGGTTGGTTTATGCTGCTTACAGGGCCAGAATACATGGAGATATATCCGAGTGTATGTGATTATATGCCTGGTATCTAGGGAAAACGGAGAGCAAGGACTCCTCCACGGCTAAGAATGAGAGGACGGCGGCGAAAATGTACCGGCGATTTCGACTTCTCAACCAATTCAGCTCAAAACACCGGAAACGCCCCCGCCTCCCCCCCAAAAAAGAGATGGAATATAAAAACAATCACACGCCTTCTCATGTTCGTTTCATTAGGTCAAGCCCAAAGCCGAGCGTTTGGAGAGTAGCCAGTCAGTCAACATATTTACACAGAATGCTCTGGCCGCTCCCCCTCAGCAATGATCGGGACGGGTAGACCCCTGTCGGGGCTTTGTAGAACCAGCTGTTCATGCCGCCGCGCCCGGAGATAGTCGCTGATTGCGCGGATCAAAATAAACCATCCCACAACCATAAGAATATAGGAAATCCACTCGCTCGTGGTGATGCCAGAGACTCCTCCCGGAGAGTCGCCCGAATCAAACTTGCCATCTTCCGGTACGAAATCGTGACTGTTCGGATTTGGCGGAACGAACTGAGAGTCACCCGTTGGCGACGAGGGGTCGGGACTGCCCCCGGGCTTCATGTAGAATCCGTATTGCACGAGGGTGAGGCCCAGACCTGCTCGACTGCCGTTTTTGGCAGCGTGGGTGGTATGAAGGAGATAGGTGAGGAGGAAACCGACGAGCTGGAAGGATGTCGAAATCATGCCGTTCCAGACGAACGAGAAGAAGGACCCGACCGGCAGGCCGTCGACGTACACCTCGTCCGAGGACATGCCGGGAGCAATGATCGTAGTTTCCCAGTAGGGGGGAGTAGCATCAGCGGCGGCTTGTTCGTAGCTCTAGTCACCATGTTAGCAACGCGGCCGTGGCCCGAATTGTGCACCGGGAGAAGATACGTACCGGGAGGCCATCGTCCTTTTCCCCGTCCGGTTTCGCAGCCAGATTTGCAAACACGCCATCGTTCGGAGCAGGCCGTATGGTTCTCCCAGCGCCGGACGGTGTGCTGTTGAACGCTGGCGGTACGGCTGAGGTTCCTGACGCGAATGCTTGTCTGGAGCTGGTGGGAGCCTCTGCGTGTCGATCATCTCCTATCGAGGGATTTCCCCTCATCAGCCGCTGCCGGTCATCGATCTCCTCGTCGCCATCGGAGTCGTCCTCGCCGCCATCGAATGCGTCTGCAAGCGTCCGATCGGTGTCTCTATGGAGGGGGTCGTGGGAGAAGAGCGGCCTCGACGAGGGTGATGAGGCTCTGGAATGGAAGGACGGGGGCGGGGAGGCAGGAACAGGATAGGGCGCGGAGGGATCGGGCATCGGGGGATGGTCGTCATCGTCATCAGCGCGGCCATCGACCTGGACCAAGTCAGTGAGCCATCTCTATCGATATAAAGGGGGTGGTGCTGTCGTAGCAGGATGCAGACGTACGCGCTGATACCGATGCGAGCTCATGGCCACAGGAAACGGGGGTTTGTGTCTGCAGGAACGGGACTTTATAGGCACAGCGAGCGACAGTCGTCGGCCAGGACAGAGAAGCAGAGAAGCGCCGTGCAGGAGAGCGAGCGGTGATGCAGAGCGTCTTTGGTGGCGACTGGATTGGGATCAGACGGAAGCCTGGCACGTGACTGGCACTTTGTCACCAAAATTCATGTTGGAGATAGAAAACATATTCCATGAGCAAGATGATAGAAACATCTCCCGAGCAGTGAATGCTCGCTCCCGCCATGAAGAATGTACGCCTCCCCCAGCACCCCCCCAGCACGTCCCCCTCTGACCACTCCACAGCTCTCCCGCGCCCAGATCGCAACCCACATCCAGCGCCTGCTCACCCGCTGGCCAGCAGACGCCATCCGCCCTGCCTCCGTCTCCGTCCACGCCTACCTCCAATCCCGCCTCGCACCGCCAACCCCATCCCCCCAGCAGCCGCAGTCACGCTGGTCGCAGCTTTTCCGCCGCTCATCCCCCGCCGCCGCCGCCGCCTCCCCGGCCCAGCAGTCGTCCGCGGGCGACGCGCCGCTGCTCACGTCGGACAATGTCAATGCGCTCTACGCCCTGCTGGAGAACCGGTACCAGAGGAAATACCCGCTGCCGAACTCGCTGCGGTACCCGGCGAGTCGGCCGGATTACTACGATGGCTTGTTGAAGGAGTTTGAGGAGGCGCCGCGGCGGGGGTGGTTGGGGCGGATGGGGAAGAAGTTGGGCGGGGTTTTACGGTGGAAGTGATAATCTAGGGATAGAGGATGTAGGGCTGGAGTGTATATTACGTGCTTTGGAGGTTGATGTTGATTCATCAGAGTTTGTACAACAGTAACTAAATAAAAGCCCCTGGCGGCATCCAGACGATACGCTTCAAGCCTATAATCTAGCATGATATGTGATATCCTATACATACACAACGCTATACAACGCAAATCCACAGATATATGGCATCTCTACGTAAAAAACAACCTTTGATGAATCAAAATGGAATCGCCAGACCCTGAAATCCCCCCTGCGCTCAGTCGAAAACGGGACAAACAAAAAACTTCTTTTTTGCTCAAAGCATGGGCTTCACGTCGTCGGCAACCTTGAAAGGCGCCTCTGTCTTTGCGCGCACCTCGTCGACCGTCACGCCGTCCGCCAGCTCGATCAGAGTCAAGCCGTTGGTGAAGTCGACGTCGAACACGCAGAGCTCGGTGATGATTCTGCTCACGCACGCTCGGCCCGTCAGAGGGAACTCGCACTGCTTGAGAATCTTGGGGTTTCCTTTCTTGTCCGTGTGCTCCATGGTGACCACGACCCTGGTCTTGGACGGGTTCGAGACGAGATCCATGGCGCCGCCGAATCCCTTGATCTTGCCGGGCAGCATCCCTATAAACATGCAAGCATTAGTAGATTAACAGCAACTCGCCGGGTTCAACTTCAACACGTACAGTTGGCCAAATCGCCCTTGGCGCTCACTTGCATCGCGCCCAACATGGTCAGCTCGATGCGTCCCGATCGGATCATGCCAAAGGACTCATCGCTGCCAAAGCACGATGCGCCGGGCAGCAGCGTGACGGTCTCCTTGCCGGCATTGATCAGATCCGCATCCTCCAGGCCCTTCTTGGGATACGGGCCGAGACCGAGAATGCCGTTCTCGGACTGCAGCTGCACCTCGACGGACGGGTCGACAAAGTTGGGCGCCAGCATCGGCATCCCAATGCCCAGGTTGGCATACATGCCGTTCTTGAACTCCTTGGCCGCGCGGCGCACGATGCGCTCCCGCTTGTTGGCCGTGTCTCCCTTGCCCAGCGCAGACATGTCGGCCTCGTCGCCCTCCTTGGCGAACGTGTACTTTTCAATCTTCTTCTCGGTGGTGCTCTGGATGACCCGCTTGACGTAGATGCCCGGCAGGTGCACCGACGCCGGATCGATTTCGCCGACCTCGACGATGTGCTCCGCCTCGACAATGGTCATTTTGGCGTTGCGGCCCATGGCGCCGTTGAAGTTTTGCGCCGCAAAGCGGAACTGGCAGTTGCCCAGCTTGTCGGCCTTCCAGGCCTTGACGAAGGCGTAGTCGCCCTTGATCGACTCCTCCATCACGTAGCTCTTGCCGTCAAACACCTTGACGTCGCGCGGCGTGCCGTACAGCGCCACCGTGCCATCGGCGTTGTTCCTCAGCGGGAGCTCGCCGGTCTGGACAACCGTGCCAAAGGCCGCCGGCGTGTAAAAGGCTGGAATCCCAGCGCCGCCAGCACGGCACCGCTCGGCCAAGGTGCCCTGCGGCGTCAGCTCCAGGTCAATCTGTCCGGAGAGGTACATGCGCTCAAACGTCTTGTTCTCGCCGACGTAGCTCGCGATCATCTTCTTGATCTGCCCGCTCGCCAGCAGCAGGCCCAGCCCGGCCCCGTCGACACCGGCATTGTTGCTGACGGCCGTGAGGCCCGTGATCTTCGGGTTGTTGTGCACAGCGTTGATGAGCGTGTCGGGCACGCCGCAGAGCCCAAAGCCTCCCGCCAGCAGCGTCGAGTCGGATTTCATATCCTTGATGGCATCCTCGGCAGACGGCACGACCTTGTTGATGGCACTGCGGGCAAAGGTGCTCGAGAACCCCCGAACGAGGAACCCTTGATGCTATATCGGCTCGTGTCAGCAACGAGTGAGTTGTCCTGCCCCGGCCACATTCCAAAGAAAAAGCAACACACAACAACGCGGGAGAGCGTCATACCCTGATGGGATTTGCAGCAAATTGCCTTGCAATTCGCAAGCATCTGATTGAGTTTCGTACCTGCATGGTGAAGGTCTGCCTCTCTGAAGAAATCAAGCAGAGGGAGAAGAGAAACAAAAAAGTCCACACGGGCGGATAAAACCGTCCCTTTTTTTTTGCGCTGAATTCCCCGCAAAACCCGTCTGACAAATCCGCCGGCGATCGAAGCGCTCAGATAATTCGGGAATTGGAACTTGGGGTGCCCTGGTACGACGCAAGAGAAAGGTTCCGATGCTCGGGCAAGCGGTCCCTCTGACACAATTCTTCTCCCGGCAAACCCTGTCCACCCGGGGAGGGGCGAAAGAACAGCACAGGAAGCTAAGCTTGAGGCGGGACACTGGGTCCACGGATAAATTCAAATGACGGGAGTCTTTTGCAGGAACCAGCGTAGGCATAAACACACACGTTACGGATGAGGATTCTCGGATGAGATCCAAAAGACACTGAGAAACCCCCCAGGGCGAGGCCAGCGGGCGGAATACGGCAGCCTTGCGAAGGGCGGAACGCTCCCTCGTTGTCCTCGCAACGCCCTGCTTAGCGTGAGGCTGGTCTTGATATCCGGCAAAGCCATTTTCCCACGCCACCCCGGATGGCACCGTGGATTGCTCTACTTTCGAGACGGCATATAAATAACCTGGGCCCTTGATAATCCTCTTACTCTGCAAAGTTACTCTATATGTACATATCGCAATCACGTCCTGTCGCCAAATATGGGGGCCATCCCAGGACGATTGACCCCGAGATGACACCCGGCCCCCCTTTTCGGCGCCGAAACCCGCTTCCGTTGCTTGCCGCGCTCAACTCGTCGGGCAAACCCGGGCGATTCGGCACGCCGGGAATCGCCCACAGAAACGAAGCAGATGAATGATGTTGGATGGATGATGTGATTCCAGAGTATTCAGGCCTATTCTTCATAGTCTACACACTCCGCTGGAGCAACAGACCAGACGGAATAATCGACGTTGCCGCCACGCAAAACTCCCGTTGCTAAACGCTCCCCCTGCCAAGCGTGGTTTAAATTCCGCCCAGGCAAAGGACAGCGAGGTGATGGCAAGAAGCCGTGATGGTCAATGGATGTATGCTGAGCTTGCTGGTCCATGCAGTCCATTAACCATTATTGTAAGATTACGCACAGAATGGCTATTGTATCAAGTTAAAGAGCTCCGGTACTTGTCATTCGCATGTCCCATTCCCAGCCTGTAAAGCTGAACCCTTGAAAAAGAACCCCGTCCCGGTATGCACCCGCCATGGACCCACTGGAATCAAGAGGTTGATACTAGAAATAAACATACCCAGGCGCGCTTTCAGATCGCAAACTTGACACACGAGCGCAAAGCAAACCGCGCGATCTGAATCCCAGATAAAAATAGAACGCCAAAACGGCAAGCCCTAGTGTTTCCGTTTCAGATGGGTCCGCGGCGGAGAATTTTCTACTTCAACTTCTTTGGCCGAAACGTTCACTCCTACCATTCCGCACTTGGCATGTCAGTAACGTCCTTGGTCCGTCATTCACGGGCCGCGGCCTCGCCAGATGGCGGATGAGAATTACGGTCTTTTGGGATGGGGGAATGAGCCTTTCCCATACCTTCGAGACCCACGGGTGCCGCACACTCGACAGAGACCTGACGGGAACTACTGGGTTGTCGGTTGATCGCGCTTTCATCATTTCCCATATCCTGGTGATCCGAAGACGTTACTTCTTCATAGGTTGGTGGCGCGTCTGCCATTTCCATGTCTTCACGTACCATCTCATGCGAGAGCGAACTCCTTCGCCTGGCAGGACGTCTGATCATCGACCGAGGACGTCTGTCCGTTTCCGTCGCTGGCGCATCCGTCATCATTGTATCAGAGGGTATGTCTCTTACAGTTCGGAAAATTGGCTGCGTAAGCCGCTCCTTGTGAGAATCGTAGACGTACACCAGGAAATACGGTGACGGGGAGTGGGCACCTGTCTGCGGTGCGAAAATTGTCGACAGTTTCTTCACTTCCGACACCTGTTCATCGTTGTACTCACGCCATATCTTCCGTTCAAAGTCGAAGATATAGATCCAATAATGGCCAGCCGATGCTGAGCCCCGATGAATAAATACCGCATATAAACGATAGACAACGTCTTTGTTATCAGCAAACTGGCCACCGAGGTGCTGTTTGAGTTCGGCGATTCGTTCCCTGATGCCTGAATGTCAAATCAGCCTTTATAGTTCCCTCAAAACGTCCAAGCTGGAAACAAATGATAGTAAGGTTATATACACTCACCAAGTCTTTCAGCCTCAGCTGCCTCCGATAATTTACTTAAGAGAGTCAATGTTGACTCGTCGATCCCAATCGTATCGTTGTCACCCTCGGCGTTGTCTTGCAAAAGCATCAACTCTCGTAATTTGCCTCTTACGCTGTCAAATGTAACCGACAGAGGGCCAGTCTGAAATCAATCTTAGTACTATTTTCCAAAATAAAATCAAGCTGAAAATAAAAAGTGAAATCTCACCTCGTTTTGAAGTTCCTGTGCACGGTTCTCGAGCCTCTGCAGCTCCGCCTTCCAACGCCACTTCTCTTCCCGCTGCTTCTGAATATCGTGTTCTGCCCCGACATCCATATATCGATCAAGATATATCGTCTCTTTCAATTCCAAGTGGTTGTTTGATTTGAATGATTTCATCTGGACTTGGTCGAATTGCACCCGTTGGATCTGAATTTGCAAGACAGGTGGAAGAGCGCTGATAGTACCGTGTTGCTCCGCGTCCGCACCGTCAACATGGACGTTCTGCTTATCGAAAGCACCGTCAAGAGCCGAGTATATATCACTAGATTCTCTTGCAACATCCACCTTGATATCGGACCATGTCTCTTCTTTGCAGCGAACACCATTAGGCGTCGTAATATATGACTTGGTCCTGCCGTGGAAAAGCCTGACGCAAATAGTTAATTAGGTAACTCGCTGAAGGCGAAGTTGACTTACTCTGTAACGATATCAAGTTGCCCACCATCCTCATCGTATGATCTGGGCTTGATAGCACATTGTGCTTGAAAAAGTACATTGTTGATGACTTCCGTCACATCCTGCTGGGCACCAATTTCCAATTCCTTTTTCATGTCATTAGAGCCTGGTCGAGGTGGCACAGGTGGTGGTCTATCGGGGGCGTTCATCGCCTTTGGTTGAGGTTCGTCTGCCTCGCGCATCCCATTAGCCTCCGTGCTCCTATGGTCGATGACGGCCCCCGGCACATGAGGATCTGCGTTTTCTTTATCGTCGTCCCCAGCTTCGCCATTGCTCGAAGGAGGTACCAGAGTTGTCTCGCTATCTTCGCTTCCTGATGCTTTGGCAGAGTGTCCCGCCCCGCTAAGGTCCATGTCTGGAGGTAGAAAAGGACCGTAGATTGGCAAGCTAGGTCCGGCCAGCGACTTGCGTCGAATTTCAGCCTCATTTGTGGAACTAAGAAGTGTCAACCTTGCAAGCTCTTGGCCTGGAGTTATGTAGCGCGTTGGCGACGTGGTCATATCTTCAAATAGCGATTTGAGCTCACGAAGAACTTCATGACTTGTTAGCTTCTCATGGTGGCTAAGCAGGGAGGGGTGGCAGTACATTTTTGTGCTCGCTCAACTTCCGCCCTAGATACTGTGCGCGATCCGACCTTCTTACGCTGCAAGCTTTCGTCATCTAGCTCCATTAACTGCTGCTCAGAAGAAAGGACCATATCTCGAAACGGTGAGAGCGTAAAATAATATTGGAGCAAGCTGTTCAAGTAGCATGTGTTGCCGATATTCCGCAAACCCACAGGCCATTCGTTTAGATTAACGTCTTCCGGTATTAGATCCTCCCCAAGCTCCTTTTTCAGCCGTACACTTTGTGTTTCATCAGCAATAAGCTTAAGCGCCTTTCGATAAAGCTCGACCTGTCCGGGGTCTTCTGTGGCGAAAACTTGGAAGGCAGCAAGGATAGAATCATCATCCACTGTCCGGTCAGAAATTTGAAAGAGTCTATAGGCATCTCCAATGTCCATTTCCGGTGGTTGCATCTCATCAGTACGAAGAAAGTATTCTAATCGCTCCGAGTTTCGCGCTTCAGCGATCATTGAAACTGCACGTTTCGCAAGCGTAATTGCGACTGGCAGATCGTCGACCTAGGGCCGTAGAGAGCGATTAGAACGAGAAGTTCGCCCAGGTCACAATGTAGGGCCATGTCATACCTTTGCACAGTACATCGAGATAATGAAGTCGTCCGGGGTATTCTCATTGGCACCGAGATAATCCAACGCTTCTTGCACGTTGGATAGATCTTCACAGATTAGACTCGGGGCTCCAATGATGAGAACCGGGAAGGGAAAGCCTACTTTCTTCTGCGACTGCCTTTATCGCATGGCTGCGGCGGTATTCACCAATCTTGGCAAGACGCTTCCGTGGCTCTGCCTCGTCAGGAGAATCTTCTAATCGCGCAAAGAACGATCCAATTATCGTATCATCGGTGAGACTGCCATCAGTGATATCAAGGTGGAAATAGCGATAAGCCTCGGGGATTTCGTGCTCGGGGTACTTTCCCTCAGCGAATTGCCGTTCGACAAATCGAGCTATACCTCTGCCTTCGATATCTCCTCTCCAGTTGCCGATGGAGCGTAGGCATTTGAAGTAGTAGGAAGCTCGGTCTGGATCACACCATACTTGTTGATGAAAAGCGTCAAGAATCAGTTCAGTGGACATATCTTCTGTTACCCCCAGGTCTTGGTAAAACCTATCAGAGATTCTCGAGTTTTAGCCAGATGTCTCCTCCTGTAAGGTAGCAGACATAATGAAGGGTGACTTACGGGGGCTGGGGCTCATTCCACCCGTTGGTTGGGTAGGTATGCATCCTTGTGTCTGTCGGTTTCGGTCAGCGCATAAGTAGCAGCGAGTAGGACCCGGAAAGCACGCACAGTTGCTTGAGTTGAGCAGGTAGCTGAATTGAATGGAGGCGAGTTCCGCAGAAAGATCTACAAAATAGGCTTCTTTCTCGGCTTCAGGCCGCTGCTTTATCAACGCAAGAAGCTCATTCGAGATGTCGTCAAGAAAGATGCGATCAGGATCTTGATATGGCAAGGTGGAAGAAATAACTGGAATAGGTGGCTGCCAGCAATCGTGTTCTTCCTATAACCGTATTTTCACGTAACGTATCAGAACGAGCATTCATCGCATCGTATTCACAAATAAAGGCCATGGGGGAAGAGCAAAGGAAAAAATAGGTTCTGTACCTTTAAACTAAACCCTATGAATTCTAAGATTTCTTTGCACGGTATTCCTCTGACACCAAATGAGATTATGAAGCGTTTGTTTCCCAACCCTATCCCACGGCTCCGTTCCGGCTGGTGCAGAGCGATATCAACATATGCCTTTAGAGTGGCTAAAACTGTGATGGGAAGCGGAGTACTGAGACCTTCTAAGCGATCAGGAAAGAGCCTTAAGGACTCTTCCATGCGCTCTGTGATCAGTCTTTGATCTGACAGGACAGCCACCCATTGGGGTCTGAGATAGGGAGCAAAGATCTTCACATATATCTTTGCTCCACAGTCAGAAACAGAACACACAAAGCCGTAATGCTCAACCTGTTGCGGCTGTGGTTCAAATTGGGTATCTGTGCCATTCTTTTTGAGCACTGTGGGGTCATATACCAAGTGATGGATATGTTCTGGGTGTGCGGATCTCGGCGTCATGTTCGTGATCGCCAGCTCGATGTGATACCGGCACAGCATACAAACGGCAGACACCTTATAGACATCGCTCCGACCTATATTGCCGTCCTCTTCTCGGAGCCTTGTCTGGTTCGCCTTCGTCAAGAAACGATGAATGCAGTGGCCATGGGCCACCAGGCTCGGATAGTTCTCCGCATCCCGCCAATCACCAGGGATATCCGTGAGGATATTGAATCCGGATTCAGGAGGATTTGCTGGGTCATAGCAGAGAAGATCTTGTATGAAGCGGGGTGCAGTCTTCCCTGCGTCCCGAAAGCGGGCGTTAGCAGCCAGAGTCGCAAAACAACTAGAGCGCAGCCGTTCACTTACCTGGACGCCCGAGGTTATGGAGTCTAGAGTGGCTTTGCATCCGGCAAAGTATATGCAAAAAGTCCGGAGTTGTTGTTCACAGGCTTGGAAGCAAGTATGAAGCGAGTTTCCCTCCCAGAGCTGTTCAGGTGCAAAGAGAGTCTGGCGTGAGTGAGGGGTTAAAGACGAAGAGCTTCGCGGAAAGGCAGCGACAATTCAAGGAGACCCGTCTAGCTCTTGGGAACAGCCTGTAGTCAATACGGCACTCTATCCCCAAACACCAGAGCTTCAATAGCGAGGGGCAACAGCCAAGGGCAGGGAAAGCACGAAGGAATAACGGCGTTGGGAGCCGGAAATCAAGTTGAAAATGCAAGACCTCTATTACCCAGGAGAGAGCTGCTCATGCCCGAAAAGCGCCAAAGGGGACAATGCACAGCTCGGGATGTTGCAACGTCTGTCTCTGCTGCCCGTGAGCTTGGAAGCTCTGCCGCCGCTCCCAGGGCGAACATTCGGTGCAAAAACGCCAAGACACCGCTCACAACCAAACGTCCAGGTCAACTCGATGCACCCATCTCGACGCCGCTCACACCCTCTCAATTGGACTCGCAAGCCACCATGACTTCCTCCGAAGAGCAGAGTAGATACCATCCACGGGATGCTATCTCTGCGGCCGCCAGGACTACGCTGATCACCGGGAGCGTGGGTCTTTTTACGTCCGCTATCCAGAATACACTCGCGAAACAGAACGTTGGCCCATGGGGTGTTTTCACCAGAACGGGGGGCACTGTCACCCTCTTCGGTATGCTTTCTTGACACGGCGCAGAGTCGAGATGGTTGGCGATCATGAAAGGGCTGACACTGGCATTGATTACAGCGACAATGGGCGGTGCTTATGAGTTTGTGAGGACTGCGTCTGCGAATTTACGAGAAAAGGATGACCACTGGAATGCTGCCTGGGGTGGGTTCGCAGCCGGCGCAGCCATGGGCTTTCGAGGTGGGCTTCCGCAACTGCCTCTTATCGAACAGATCTAATGGTTCTAGCTCGCACGTTCCCCGCCGTCATTGGATATGGCGCTACCGTCGCAACTGTGCTGGGCATTTTCGAATATACCGGAGGCAGCCTTCGAGGATACAAGGAAAATCCAGATGTGGATGAGTTTGACAAACGGGAGGCGTTGCGAACGAATTATCGAAGCCCTGGAGAACAGACAATTGCCGAGCTGGGGGAGGGAAGAGGTAGGTGGATCAATTGCATTGGAAGACCGGCTGATGTGCTTTGCTTACCGTGCTAATACGTCTTACAGGAATCCACGCGCCTGGCTACGCGGAGAGACGACGAGACAGGATAAAGCAGAACTACGGCATCGACGTGCCCGTCACGCAACCCTCGGCATCCTAAAACAAAATTGTCTTCCGGCTGGTGTTCTCTCATTGCCTACCTTTTCCAATTATTGCATGTAGTATACGGCAGCTCGGGGAATTGAGCTCAATTAGATTCCAATGTCACATAGTTTCCTCGTCCATACGGCGCATGAGCGCGTCCTCCAAGGAGTCAGCATTGGCAAGTGGACGGTAGTCATCGATGTGCAGGCTACCGCGCCCATGGCGCTTCTCACAGCAACGCAGACGATGCAATCAAACAAGCCTCTACGGTCTCTTTCTCGTTCCAACACGGCGCATGGCTAACAAAGATATGCTTACATAATCGCCAATTATTACGCCACTCACATGACCAGTTGAGCCACATTTATGGATGACGTCAGCAACAGTGGCTGTGCGGTATTCCTTCCCGCTTCTAGAAAGCCACATGTCCTGAAGTACCAGTACCTCCGTGCCTCCCAATGTCAGGTGCGGAGCTGGGTACCTCTACCTCACCACCTGCTCATCTTCAACACAACAAGCAATCTGTAGCGAAACGACGGTGAATGGGAAACACTGTAAGCAATCGTGCAGCTCCGTGAAACATCTGGTAGAAGCTCGGCTCACTCGCAAAGATCGCCCACAAAGACCAGTGTAGTTTGGCACAAGGAGCCCCTTTTTTTGCGCTCTGTGGATCGAATTATTTATAGGGGATACGGGGGAGAATTAAAATAATCATCAAAAAGGGAGATTTCCAACGGCCACCTGCACCCTGTAACTGTCCTTCTCCCCCGTCCTTTGCAGTCTCGCAGCCGGTTTCCCCAAGCCGCAGAGTGCCAGCCCGCCCAGATCGAATCCAAAGCCTCTTCCTGCACTTGACTGGCTCAACCTTCGGGTACGGTCTCTCCAAAGACGTCATTCCTGCGCATTTGCTGCGAGTTGCCCTTGAATCCGCTTCGCCCAACGCCTGCTCACAACCTGTCCTGGAACTGACAACTGAGCCATCCAGTGCATTCGGGCATCTTCTGCTGTTCTCCTCTTGTCTGTTGTAATAACGTGAAGGATGTAGGTACGGTTTCCGCCGCCTCAACGAAGACCCCCCCGACCACCTCGTTCTGCCTTTCCGCAACCCGCCTGTCACGATTCTGCCTGGATGACGACCGTGTGAAGGCACCTCCAAACCCTCCCAGCTCGTTGTTCCACGACGATTGCAATCGCATCTTCACCCTCCTGTTTGGATACACGTAGCTCTGCGGTACAGCTAAACAGTTGCCCGCCATGACCACTGTCTCGAGACCTCGAACGCCCTCTCACGAGATCTACCCGTCCGCCCCTAACATATCGCAATCAAGCCATCCCATCCGGAGTCATGGGTCTGCGTCTGGCTCACGACCAGAGTCCTTCGCCGCGACCAACTCGATTCAACCTACCGATTTCCAAGTGCGATTTGGCGCCGGCGAAACCCCCGTGCCTCAACAATCTCGCTTCCACGAGGATCTCAGCCACCGCGGTTTCTCCATACTGGATGGCAATATCCCCGGCGATGCGGCGCGAAGCGAATCGCAAGTGTCGCTTTCACAACAGACGCTTCCGTCGCGGTCCGGCACTTTGAAGAAAAAGGCGTCGCTGAGTAAAAAGGGGAGTTTGCGGCGCGGAGGAAGCAAGCGGAGCAGTCGCGCCGGCAGTGTAAGGAGTCTGAAATTAGGTGAAAAGGAAAAATATTCGGCGGGAGAAGATGAGATGAATAGTGCCTTTTACATTCCGATCCCAACAAAGGGAACGCCAACGGAAATTCTCGCAAACAGATTCCAAGGTATGTGTTCAAGCTTGTAAGCTGTCGTGACAGCCAAGTTAACTTATTTTCAATCTAGCATGGCGAAAGGTGCTCAAGGACCTCATCGGCGTTTTTAGAGACGTCCAACGATCATATGAGACGCGAGCAAAGATCCTTGTGTCTACTTCGAACGCAATGAACAACATTTCTATGCCCACCACCTTCTTGCAATCCGGCGGAATCGCAGAGGCAACCAATATACTGAAGACATATCATAAGCAAGCATTGATTGAATGCAACAAGGCTAAAGACGTGGAAACGGAAATCATCGTTCAGCTGAATAGCCTAAGAAATGATTTACAGCAAAAGATCAAAGAGATCAAGAGCCTTTCAGGAGATTTCAAGAATTCCGTCGACAAGGAGATGGAGGGAACACGCAAAGCTGTACGGCATTTACATGAGGCCTTGGGTCTGGTTGACACTGATCCTGCAGCTACGTCTGGAAAGGGGGATCCGTTCATTATCAAGTTGGGAGTTGATAAGCAGCTCGAAAAGCAGCTGCTAGAAGAGAATTACCTCCACCGAGTACGCAACCCCCCCTCAGCAGAAGCCTGTCTTAGACCTGCCTACTGACACTTTTTACAAGGCCTATTTGAACTTAGAAAGCTCTGGCCGTGAGCTGGAATCCATCGTGGTTGGCGAAATACAAAAAGCATATAGCGCCTACGCGAGCATCCTAAAGCGCGACGCCGATTCCGCATACGAGGCCATTGAACGGCTACGTGAAGGCCCTATCTCTATGCCCAAAGACCTTGAATGGAAAGCTTTTGTTTCGCATAATGATCAGTTAATCGACTCTGGCGTACCACTGCGAAATATTCGGAATATCACGTATCCTGGAAGTGACCATCCGGCGGCAGCAGAAGTTCGGGCCGGAATGTTGGAACGGAAGAGCAAATATCTCAAAAGCTATACTCCAGGCTGGTAGGGATACACTCTTTCTGAAAGATGATGACGCTTCATATTAACAGCCGTAGGTATGTCCTGTCGCCAACCCATTTACACGAGTTCAAGTCGGCGGATCGCATTCGATCTCAGAATCCGGTCATGTCGCTGTATCTCCCTGAGCAGAAACTCGGTTCACACTCCCAGCCAGATTCGTCTTCCCACAAATTCATGCTTAAAGGACGGCAAACCGGTTCCATGCATCGTGGACATGCCTGGGTATTCCGAGCAGAGTCCCATGATACCATGCTTGCCTGGTATGAAGACATCAAGAACCTCACAGAAAAAACCGGCGAAGCACGGAACGCATTCGTCCGGAAACATGTGCGCTCCGTGAGCGGCATAAGCTATAGAGGGTCATCTATCAGCAGCGACGGAGTCCTTGATGAAGATGAAGCAGATCAAACGCCGTATTCCGCCGAACATATGCTACCTCCCCGCGGACCGTCCTTGGATGAACCACGCTGGCGTTCTCCTTCCGGCGGACGGTTCCCAAGTGAAGTCCAGCTAAATCGAACATCCGAGGCACCCAATTCTCCATCAAGCGAGGCGAGTTCTCGAGAAGAGCCCGTGGCCGATTCGTCCTTTCGCGAACCTGGAATTCACTTCGCCGGACGACAACCCCAGCGGCATCAGCACCCTCACGAACCAGAACCACACGACGGGCTTCACTCCAACTCCATCCGTTCCACACAGCCCAAAAGGCCCGCCCGCATCTACGACGAATGGATGACAGCCGACCGGCCCGCTCCGCCCCAGACTCCCACTCACGACCACATCAACGCCAATCGCATTTACTCCCCAAGCCCGCAACCTCACCGCAACGGAACCCGCGTCCGCTCCATCGCCCTATCCACAGGCGCCCCCATCCTCATCCCCGACGACATCTCCAACAAGCCAACTCCGCGTCCCAGCGAGCCAGATGCCTCACTCCTCTCAACCCAACCCACAAACACCGACACCAGAACCAACCCCAGCCTCACAACTGCCACGTCGCTCGGCATGCTTGGAAGCGATACGTCAACCGGCCACACGCCTGCTCTCCCAAATGGCGCAGGTGCTCTAGATCCTCCGATCGCGGACACCAAGGCTGACGACACGGAAACTTCAATGAGGCAGCGGATGCTGTCCGCGGCGCATCGCACCTCGACTGTCAGCGACTTGAAGGTTCCCGGGCAGTATCCCATGGCTAGTAGCTGAAACAAAAAAAAAAAAAAAAGGAAAAGGCGATCATTTGAAGTTTCCCACTCCCATTGAGTGGCAATGTAGTCCTGCATGCATTCGCTACCAGCTCGACTCTTATCGCTATTATTGATTTTTGTTTAATATTTCTATTTAAGGCATCTAGTTCCGTCTATTCCCATCTCTTTTCAACCTGTCTTATCCCTGTATATGATTCATTTTCCACTTTTCTCGTTTGTTTTTCTTTCCCGGCTTGTTCCTTTCGGATGTTGTTTGTCCCTTAGCATGCATTCATGTATCATCCTGTTTCCCTCTCTGTATGCAACATGACTTGCTATTTCGGCGTCTCTTGTTTTTAGCATATTCATCTTGTCCGGGGAGGGCACTATTTTCGTCTATTGTGATACTTCCTTCCAGAATGACATGGGCCAAGGAGTGATGCCACAAACTCTAGCACTAGGTTGAATGCTTCAATCAATGAATATTGAGAGAGTACTACAGCAGTTTATTTCTTGATAAGAGGATAGAATAGGCCTAACAATTTCAATAACCCATTTTTTGGCAATACATCACCACATAGCCTCAATGAAAAAGGTTTTAGTAAGACAAATGGTACAAATTGCTCACGCATGCGTATCACGGGGCCCAGCAGCGGGGGTAAGGATCAAGCCAGAGCACATGAATGGCACAGGAGCGCAAGATGCATGACGGAGAAAAGAAACAGACCGCCCCAGGCATCAAATCCGTTGGAGTGAAAGAAGCAAGCAAAGGCGCACAGGTCCATTTCTTAATACCGATGAATGAATCGAAATAACCCGCGCTTTGCTCTTATTCAATCCGCGAAACCGATAATCGCATTTTTAAACCTGGTGCCAAAATATAGCGGCGGTGTTTCTGCTTTTCGCCATGCAATTGCAGTCGAAAAATCACATGATCTGGTCTTGGGTAATGCCGGATGGCTGATCTGCAGTGACGTCCATACTATCGCCGGAGGCGGAGTTCAAGTACTTGACAAACGTCAAACCGAGAGGACGACCACCGTATTGGTATCCCGAGAATTTGCCTGCATATAACATGAGTATGAAAGCGTTTTTAGTAATCTTTAAACAGGGGGCCACCCACTAATTGCGGTCTCTGCATTCTCGATTGTATCGAATTGGACGACACCAGTGCCTCGAGATCTTCCATTCTGCTCATACTGAATCTCTGCGCGTTCCACTTTGCCGATTGTGGAGAAGAGCTCGACCAAGTCCTCATTACAGGTAGACCACGGTAGCTAAAAGAACGTCAGAACATTTGATCTTCAACATACCGGTTTGTGGGGCACATACATTGCGAACATAGATAAGAGCGCTCCTTTCACCACCATAGGTTGCAAAATCTGTAAAGGGGTTGGGAGGAATGGAGGTGGCTTCATTACCACCAGCGCCGCCTCCAAAACCTCCAAATCCGCCCCTTCCACCGCTGAATCCGCCATAGCCTCCACGGCCAGCGAATCCACCACGGCCGCCTCCAAAACCTCCGCGGCCAGCAAAGCCCCCAAAGCCACCGCGACCACCAAATCCACCAGGCGTAGAGCCCGCAAAACGATCTTCACGTACCTCCAAGTTTCTACCATGCCATTCGTAGCCATTGAACTGCTGAATAGCATTACGGGCATCTTCCACACTCTCGAACGCAACTATGCCGGAACCTTTGGGGCGTCCATTGGGATCAAGGTGCACATCGGCGCGTACAACCGTACCTTGTTGTGCTGCTTTGTATTAATAACATTCTTTCTGCATATGACCTTGGAGTAGGCAGCTGTAAGCAAACGGGACTTGGCACTTACTGGCTTGGCGAAAAAGATCCTTCAGATCCTGCCAGCCAACGTTGAACGGAAGCTAAAAATTCAAGTCAACCTTTGATCACTACTCGTCTTTTTACCCTGCCCTCGATAGCAGTCGGGCAGGGGGGGTGAACAAGGTGGTGGAAAGTAGTTGAGATGGTGCAAGGGCAACAAACGTTGGAGACATAAATCTGGCGGCTGCCAAGTGAATTGTAACCGCCACTAAAGCCACCACGGCCAGCTCCTGCAGCGTCTCGATGAGGGGGTCCAGTAAATCGGGGTTCTGCTTCGCGGTCCTATATTTTGCATATATCAGAGCATGCCTGGGATTCTAGATGATAAACGTACCTCCCGGACGTAGACAAGTCTACCCATGAGGTTCTGGTTGCTGAGCGTTGAAACAGCATTTTGTGCTTGCTCCCTCGTTGCGTATTCCACAATCCTGCAGCAGAAATGTTAGCCCAATTGGGTCCGGTAAATATTTACCGAGTTTTAGGGGGACAGGAGACTTACCCGCAGCCCTACATAGTCCAAACAACCGAGCCCCAACCCGTCAACCCAACAATCCATCAAAATGACCAAAGAAAACCAGGAGACCAGTCACAACTACGCATTGACGCCCACCTTCGACATTCCATTGGGAAGTAGTAAGACATCGGCAAAGAGAACTTCTCCAGCTATAAATCAAAACGACACGGTCGCAGAGTCAGCCTTGTTTCTCCAAACCTACGGCACGACATGCGTCCCATCGGCAACGAATTCGTCCATGGCTTCCAGCTCACCCTGTCTCATAAAATCTTTTAGATGATGCCATTTGACATCGTATGACAAATTGCCCACATAGACACGGCGGTCTTGCTGGGAGGATTCGCGAACAGCCTGCATCATTTGTTCCTTGGCAAAAGCACGATCTTCGAAAGAACGGTTAGGGGCGCCACCACCTCGTCCACCGTATCCAGATCCTGGATAACCACCGGAAGTGCCAGCTGCACCACTCATAGGTGATCGGGATCGGCGGTCGTTGCGACGGTAGTCTTCGCGGCTGCGGGACCGACTACGCGGAGAATAGGAGCGGCGGCTGCGACGAGGGCTGCGAGATCTTCGACGTGGAGAACGAGATCTCTCACGCTAATAAAATCAGTATTGAGCATCAAATTATGTAGTCAAATGTTCAGCGTCGAAAGATCTCGCCCATGGACAACTTGCAAATGGACCAATGGGATAAGCGCAAGAAAAGCGCGACAAAAACCCGGCCCCATGTTGGCTTCCAAGGTCAATTGGCATAAGGCGGTGAAGGTCCTTGAACGCACGTGAGGTAACTAAAGAAACAAGCGGGGCAAAGGACTTGGAAAGGGCATGGTGTCAAAACTCCAAAGCGTGTCTGACGGGGATAAGATCAGAGTCGCATATAGATTATATTTGGCTGAAAAGCAGCTGAGGCGTCCCATGACGGCAGGTCGATCGTAGAGATACTTCCCACACGGGTCACCCACGCCAGCTTCCGCGAGGTTCGATGGGAGTGCCACCCATGCCCACACCGCCAGTGATATCTGAATCGAGTCTTATCAATACGGCGTCGACGCGACCCGTTAGGATCGGTCGAACAAAACGTATCATCGGTTTCAGACTCACTGGACGGCGCTTTGTCTGATCGACTGGCGTGATTTTGGCGAGGGAAAACGAGGGGGCCACGGAAGACACCGATGGAGTGACTTACTTGTTGGGGTCGATAAACGTCGGCTGTACCTAGGCACCCACCAAGAATCAGTGAGCCGTGTGTTTTAGTATTCAAGTGAAAGAAACGAGGGGAGGCATCAAAAGAAAAGTAGCAGAATAGTAGACGGATTGAATCAAAAGCAAAAAAAGGGAAGGAAAAAAAAGCAAGGAGGAAGAGGGAAGAGGCTTGAAATTAGAAGAAATGGTGTGAGTGGAGAGTGAAGTGACAGGAGGTGTGATGGAGGCAGCCCATTAAGCAATCCTTAGTGAGAGCCCTGGAAGGCCAAGACAGGGGGGTCCTTATTAGGCAAGCAATGGGTGATATGAGAGGATGGGACAGACAGGAAAGCAATCCAAGAGGCAGTGCGTGCGAGGGGAAGACGGGCGAGAGCAGAGCTGTCTCACTGGCCGGCTGGCTTGGAGGAACAGAGAATGGAGGCAGCAGACGAAGAAGAAGCAGACATCAGAGCACAAAGAGCTGCTGCAACAACAGGACGCAGGTCACTTAAGAGGCCGGAAATAGTGAACCACAGCCAGCACCACACGGCAAGAGGGCAGCCGTGAGGCAGTCAAGAAAAAAATAAAAATAAAAACGACGCGGAGAGAGGCAAGGGAACAGACACGCACCCATGGTGATTAGGTTGCAGATGAGAGGTGAAACGGAGGACTCTGGAGGTGATGTGGGTTCTTGTCCCAAACGCTGCGTCAAAAGACTCGTGGCCGCGAACTTTTTTCCAGCTCAGCACAGGGCCGCGGTGCCTTTGGGGGTGAGCTTGAGCGGGCGGACGATGACGGGCGTGGTGCGCAGCTGTAATTGGAGGAACGGCGATAATTGCTATGAGCACGGTGCAGGGATTGGAGGTTGGGGTTGGGTCTGAGAGGAACTGAGAACCCGACTGGAAAATTTGTCGTTGCGCGCCCCGGGTTGCAGCAGTGCGTCTGTCAGTCCATGGACTGCGGGAGCTGGTAGATGGCGACGAGAACGAGAGCACAGCGCTGCCAACAGGCGTGAACAGCACGATGAAGCAGAGGTTGGAGGTGGTGATGGATGGAGGTGAAGCTGGAGGAGAGAGAACGAGAGTGAACCTGAGAGTGACCAGGCGTGACAAAGAGCTGCAGCACGCGGTACGGTATGGTACGGCTGGTATCAATAGAGGCAGTGAGGCGAGAGAGCTCTGCACAGAAGAGCTACATAATTGCTACTTGACAGGAGATCTTCTCACTGCAGTCTACAGAGTGCCGGCAAGCAAATTTCAACACCTGGATCTCCATTGCTTCATTTCCCAGGATCGAAGGAGCTGCAGCGTGGTGAGGTTGCTTGTTGGTCTGCGCGGACTCGTAACGACAATACCATACCGGTCTCGTACCTGCGTTGGGCGGCTACTGGGAACTCTGTTCCACACCACGCATCCAACCTCATCCCTAATAATACGCCGTTGGCTCTCTGCGCGATGCTGTTTGGTGATTCAAGGACGGTCTGGATATCGAAGATGCGTGGACTGGCAGCTTGACTCCTGCCGCTGGGGAGATGCAGTTCCTGACGGGCCTGTCCTGGAAATCTGCCGTGGCTCTGGCTCCCTTTTGTCACGGCCTGGATGGGAGGCTCGCTGCACGCCAACCGCCTTCTCCCCCAATTTGTATTACTGCGTTTTCCGGGCTTGTATTCCGCTGCTAACATACAACGGGTTACTGAAAGGCGTTACTCGACTGGCACATCCTTGTCGTTAGGATACCGGGCCATGGACCATGTGCTGAGCACTCTCCAAGCACCAATCATCCCACGCGTTCCCGGACGCTTCAACAACCTCGAAATGCGGTAACGAGCCATTTTCCGTTTCGTGTTCGGCCACATGATTTCCCTTCGAGCCCATCAGGGAGTGATCGTGCGCGACTCCTTGCGTAGGGACTTTGGCCTCGGATTGAGCCTCTTGGCATCATAGACTTAAATTCTTGCCTGCATGAACTACTGCGAGTCTTGCGTTCCGTTGGCCTTATCCGTCCTCTGAGCAAGACACCAAATCAAGCACGTTCTTGATTCCACACCCGGCTCTTGTGCCCTCCCCCAGGTTCGAGACCGTATTCGGCGCGAGGCTCCGTTCTCTTTGCCCAGTCGAAAGCCATGGCTCTTCGCCCATCGAGTCTAGAAGCTCCTCTTTCTCTCCATGTTGTCCGTATCAAAAGGAGGAACTTCTACAGGATCCCGATTGCACTTGGCCACATGGAGTTAGAACCGCCGTTCTGTGAAAAGGAAGAACTCAGGGTTAACATGCTACATAAGTCCGTAAAAAAGCCTTTTTCTTCCTCGTTTAGATCATGATTGTTTCAAACTGGATTGGGATTCGAGCGATCCAAGGTTAGATGCTGCGCACAAGCCGCGTATCGGTTCGACATGGTGCTGCTGTCGTTGCCTATCTCTGTTCTCTTCAAACGCTTTTGAAGATCTCGGAGATTCGGCTCCTCCCCATGCGGAATCTGATACTTGCTATCTCAATTCTCCAACCCCACCCGTTCAATGGCGATTCAATTCGGCGGTCATACTCGATAGAGCCACCTGTGTAACGCTGGAAAGCTGACTGCGACTAGTACGCCGTTGCACAAACTCTACTGAATGGCAGCACGTTTCCGCACCTCACTAACGAAAGCTGATGGCGATTGAGAAGCAGCAACTCGAATAGTCTCCTTGACGAGGCTCTTCTTTGAGCTCACAGAATACGGACAAAGCTCAACATATCTGGTAACCAGACAGCTCCTAGCACACGTGTGGACTTGGAAGGCAAAAGAGGCTTTCGAAGTTTATTGCCCATTTTGCTTCACCCGGTTTAACGAAAAGTAAAGACGTTTCGCTCCCATGACATGGTATTTCTTCTGTTTTCCTCCGACTACGCAGAATATGACAGGCTTGTACTCCTCCTCCAGCGGGTTCACTTCCTATCAAACCTATGACAGGGCTACTGCTGATCCTTTGGTGATGCTGGTACAAGTCTAGACTTCATCGATTCACATTCCGTTCCCGCGCCTGGCAAACTGGGCTTTATCATAGTACTTTCGTTCACGACCAGTTTGTATTTGCACGCACCAGCCTTCTCCACGGCCGTGACGCTTTCGTTTAGGACTGACAGGGTTTTCAATATCTCATGGAAATCCCTGGGGGGCAAATGGGGTAGCAATCCAAGTTTCCTGGTGACTGGGCCTGAACTAGGCCTTGGTAGGCAAGGAGACTCCTTCATGAGTGAGATCCCCGAGAGATTACAGGTTCGGCCGTGTATGTCCGTGCTCACCTCTGCACCCTCCTTTTCAAGAACCGGACTCCTTCATTCCCTGCCAAATTTCCCTATTTGTCAGCCTACATGCGCTAGTATTTCAGTTGAATCCCCCTTTGGCCGTTCCTATTGGCAAAAGGCACATCGGGTTTCTTTCCGTCGCGGGGCCCCCTGGGTGTGAGGATTGTCAGTTGTCGAAGCAATCCCTAGTCTCCTTGGCCGTTCATAATTCAGCGATTTCTCCCATCTTCCGGCGTGTCTTTCCTCCTGGTGTTGCATTTTATACTGGTTTGGCCTGGGTCTGAGTCCCTTCATTTCGATGCTTGACGAGGAAGCGTGCAAACGTCCGCCAACCGACCAACATAGCTCTACGGAACAGGCGCTTGATATGTGGTGGTTCTCAATTTTCATAGATTCTACGACCTTGGCTTATACTTTGGTTTGGTGCACAGAACGCTTTTTCGTTTGGCCTAAAAAATGCGGTCTTCGCGTTCCTTCAGTCCGATCAACAATCCATCTGCAGAGCTGAACAAAGGAATTGACATTTTCCGTTATCTCCTTTCCGAAGCTGCCTGAATAGACTGTCGACAAGATCATCCTGAAGAGTTGCACTCCACACTCTGGTGTCCGCTCGCGTGTTGAGCACCTCGACTCGACTTCCATATGCTTGCCTTTAGTCCCAAGTGAGCGTCTGGGATCAGCCAAGGTTTAGAGGTGTGGCGTCCTGTACGGAGTGTTCTTATGTTGTACTCAACTATCGCGTCGCAAATCTCCAACACACTTGCACTACAAGTTTTTTTTGGGATACTACGGGCCTTTTACCGGTATGGCGATTCGGAGACCAACGCGAGCGAGAAGAAAACGCATCCTGATTGAGTACCCTACGTAGTACTCGTCGGTTTCCGGTTGACGTACTGGGGACGCAAAATCTTTTTTGACACCGCTGAAAAATAGGCCGGATTATGATCCACTTTTCATGGAAGGGCATATATCCGCTTCTCCCAATCGTCGCGCATTTCCGATGTTTGTGAAGATATTCAGCAGAGTGCCTTGGTTTTCACGTGATGCGCATGTCACGAATCTGTTTATCATGGTTCCATCGTTGAGTATAAGATGGCGTCGTCCTAGGCGGGGTTCGTTGCTGACGACGTGTTATTATGTAGTGCGTTTGATCTCTACTGGCGCTAGGTCAACGTATAGGGATATGGTTTGTGAGGGATCTTATGGGTTGCTTACGACCCTGAGGAGACGGGGATTCATATGTCCGCAAAGCCAAATTTTATCAGATACCTACTAATTTTCACGGCCTTTTACGTAGGAGCAGAGATGCAAGCATAACGATCGACTCTAAGAGACTTCTAAGGGCGAGATGAAATTGACGATCTAGATTCAATAAGAGGTGAATTTCGGGTCGAGTCCCTACGACTTGCTTGATTATCCGAGGGAGTCCAATAAATCGGCCTGGATCAATACGGGTCGGTATTCCCACTGAGCACCGAGCAATATGGGCTTTCAATGAAAGGGCCTTATTTTGTATGCAAGGGAGAGGTGCGGTGCGCCAACCCACAAATAAAACCTACGGCTGCATTTATACTGGATTTTCATCTGTTGCCCTCGGGTTTGCAGGACGGGGATTATCCAATCATCTTATGATAGATATTATTCATGACGTCGGCGAGGCCAGACTGCAGACTGACGCGCAAGGCCCGAGCGGCCGCGGATGTGCATGCCATGCACAAACCCGGTGCGAGGGAGCTCAAGCTCTTGTGTTGACTTTGACCGAGGATGCGCTCCTATTCTTATCGCTGAATGTCACGGTCATGCAGCTCGTGTCTGCAATAGGACGTATGCGAACGGTATAGTCGAGGGCGTTTCAGCAGCAAAGGAACCTCAACCGGGGACGAATTGTGCGGGTTTGGTTAGCTATTGGACAATATGCGGAAGAAGCTATGACTCCAATAGGCAGCTCGATAACAATGGCGGAGGGAGGCCGCCCTCCACATGCACCCGGGGCCTCCTATCAAAACCATGGGCGCGACGAGGATTTTCGCAGTGGCCACGGGAAGTGTGACCGCTGGGCCGCTCTGACGCTGTGACGGAGTGCTGTTCCAGCAGATCAGCATATTATAGAGGGAGATCTTTTGTAGACGCAACTGTTCCATTTCCAATAATTGCTTCGGCTCTTGCGGTGCTCTCGCTGTCGTGGGGAACCTGGTTAGCGTAGTCTTGTGTGAATTTGGCGGTTTTGATCCCTAGCGAGGTTCCACTCGTTGCCACACATTCTCTCTCTCTCTCTCTCTCTCTTCTCTCTCTCGCTCGCGGCTCTCTCGATCAAAACTCGTCGACCGGAGCGTTGATCCAGCCGCTGCCATTGGGCCCAGTCCGCCATTGATTCCAGCTGCTGCGCGCAAGCAACCCGCAGAAACACTCGCGCGGCGCGCTGTGTGACGGGCTAGCGACCTTCCTGTTTGGGCGCACCAGCAGGCCCCATCCTTTCACCATCGCATCCTCTCTTTCTTTGGCTGCTGGCGGGTTTCTTTTTTTACTTCTCTGCTCGCCAGACCGTTTCACGGACGGGTCTACGCTGGGATGGGCGCTGCTCCGATGGAGCCGGTGCCCGTTTTTTTAAATCTTGCCATCTTGTCTTCTTCTTCTCCCTCTTTCTCTCTCGCCTTTCTGCCCCTTTTTCTCCTTGTCACTGCGAACGGATGACAAGGAATCGGTGAGATTTTCTTAAAGGGCTTTCTTCTTGTCGATTGACTGTATTCCTTGGATACGCCTTGAATGGCCGACGCTGCCAGCTCCTCTCATCGATAACAATACCACATTATCCAGATTCGAGCCCAGCTTCGGTCAATATATACGTCTAATCATCATGGGGCATGGACTCTGTCATCGCACCATCCACCGCCACCAGCAGCATCTGAAGTGGTCCAAAGCCAATGCCCCGGTGTTGACTATCAACTCTGGCGAAACACTCACTTTCGACGCTCTCGATGGCAGCAACGGACAAATCACCAAGTCCTCCTCCGTTGACGCGCTTGATACCTTCGACGTCAACCTAGCCGACCCGGCCTATGGACCCGTGTACATCAACGACGCGGCGCCGGGAGATGTACTGAAAGTGGAAATACTCAGCCTCGAGCTCGCGGACTGGGGTTGGACGGCGATCATGCCTGACTTTGGGTTTTTGGCAGACGAGTTTCCCGATCCGGTTCTCAAGATCTGGGATATTGATCCCAGCCTGCCCTACGTGAAGTTTAAAGACGGAATACATATCCGCAAACGACCCTTTCTAGGAATCATGGGCGTGGCGCCGGGGGAAGAGGGGGAGTTCTCGACGATTCCGCCGCTGGAGACTGGTGGAAATCTTGACTGTCGGTACTTGACTGTTGGATCGACGCTATATCTCCCCGTGCGGACTCCGGGAGCCTTGTTTAGCTGTGGCGATGGCCATACGGCGCAGGGCGATGGAGAGATTTGCGGGACTGCTATCGAGACGACACTGACGGCCACGCTGCGCTTTACCGTGTGCAAGAATCAGCCCTGGGTCACGGCCCCACAGTATCAAACCCCGCCGCTAAGAGAGCTTCTGAGCCAGGAGGACGTGGACGAGGACAAAGGGGAATACGCAGCGATGGGGATCGATTCGGATCTTCGCGAAGCCTCGAGAAAGGCTGCGCGAAATTTGATTGAATGGCTGGTCTCCACAAAAGACTTGACGCGCGACGAAGCATATATGCTGGCCAGCGTGGCTGGTAATCTGAAGATGGTTGAAGTGGTCGATATGCCCAACTATGCTGTTGCCATGAGCATTCCTTTGAATCTCTTTGTTTGAAGGGATATGCCCCCCCTCTCTGCCATTTGGTTTATGTCTTAACGAAGCTTACGGCCCACTGGACATGATTGTGCCTTGGTACGCTGGATGGATACCATATACCCATAATGAGACAGAGTGTATTTAGGTTTGGTTGCAATTGAATTGGTAATCTTTACTTGTTTCAACTGGCCTCCCGATTTTATTTGGTGATTACTCCCTGCTACCGATGGCTGTTCATGGGCGTTATAGGCTTGACCTATGAGGCACAGGATTTCTTAGAATTAACTTCATGACATATCTGAATGCCCCTGTCGCAGCAAATAACGACAAGGCACATCAACCCCAAATTTGGACACAAAACCAAACTGAACAACGAGCGGCTGACACTTGAACAGCAAAGCAACACAACAGCAGAAAATGAGTGTCACATACAGGATCAAATCCAAAAGAAACATCGAGATTTGCACACCACCATCCTCAACCAGCTACCACGTCCTTGATAACACCTGCTGCTCGAAGAGCCGGGATCGCCCGCTCCAGCGTCCACTCCGTGCACTTGAACAACGGACGTCGCTCCTCCCCAGGCTCATAAAACGTCAAGGGATTCTCGGTTTTAAACGGCTCCGTCCTCATAGTTCTCGCGTTGAACGCTTTCTGCCGATGGGGCGGGGGGATTTGTTTAAGCACGTCGTCAAAGGCGCCCGGGTAGGTTGAGGCGTCGGTGACGCCTAAGAATTCTTTGGAGTGGTATGTGCGAGACTTGTCGGGTTCGTCTCGGGGCTTCCTCTCGTAGGACATGCCTTGCATGGAGGTGACGTCTCCGGTAACGTGATGGATGAATCCGCTACGGTCAGGTCTGGTTTCCACGAAGATCGTGACATGATGTAGAAAGGTCGGTCTATCGGGATCGGGGAGATCGAGGTGGAATCTGACGAGATAAACAGGGTATTGCTGAGCCATGTTTTAGGGTTTCCTTTTTGGGCTATCAGAATGCGGTATTGTGTGGTTATCGAATCAGGCACGTCTTGCGGGTTATTGATAGAGAAAGGGAACTCCAAGTGCAATAAAGTACGCCCCCGTTTGCGAAGCTGCTGCGTGTGTGATTGACAGAAGCTGATTTAGATTTTGAGGCAAAAGGTCGAGGGGAAGATGGGCTGGCTTTATAGGATTCCTGAGGCCACGGGCTCACAACCGCCTGCTGCCAGAACCTGAATTCGCGAAGAGCCATTCGTCTTCCCAATGGTGGGTTGAAAGAATCAGTGGCCCAGGGAGTGCTGTGCGCATTCACATCCTTGCTAGGCAGCATTGTCGGGGGTTTGAATGCCATCAGCGAAGAGCTGGAGGACAGAGGACTCATTGGTTGTGCCACGTTAGGCAGAGAAGCGAGCCTCAGTTGGACGAGTGCAATAACGCTCAACCCAATTGGCAGGCACATCGCCCGAGGAATCTTTCCAAGAGGTGGTTCGTCTTTGGCGCCCTGTTTGTCGGGGGAGGCGATCTCCCCGGACGGATGATCCCAGGACATCTACATATTCGTACCGCCAGGGGATAGGTGAAAGGCGTCGGGGGCTTCAATGCGAGCGGTTTTATCCGGGTGCACCTAGCTTCCAATAACTCATTCATTGGCTATGAAGATGGTACTCGTTGTTAGCGGGCGGCACAGCTTGCGGCGCATCTCAGATGATAATACTCTGTTCAAACATGCCGTCCGGAATATCGACGTGTTCTGGCGCTGATAACTCGCTAAAACGAAAGCCATGCCTGGCTTTCGCCCGCTGGAGAGTAGTTGATAATTTGCCAAATAGTCGAAATGCCAACGGACGTCTTCCCATCTGCGATGACAGGCACTGTACATGCTCCGTCATAAGCGCCCTTGGCAGCAGGGTGTGTCTTGCGATGTTTTGGGGATTTGATCAGAAACAACAGCTTCAACCGAGTGGTGGATTTGCCAGAGGAACCGCACCGCAGAGAAGCCCGTATCCTGTTAGTAGGCGGTTAGCTCTAGACATCTGTTGAAGTGTAGTTAATGAAGATGGAAGTGTAGTTGGTTCCGCATGATCTGGAGAGCCTCATCTTCCTAGCTGGTTATTGTTTCCATCAGCTTCACACTCTGCTTCAGTGCAATCCCCAGTGATCCAACAAACAAAACGGGATATCCTCACAATCCTGTCTCTCCTGCAATGTCTGTTGCCTTGCCCTACTTCAAAGACGCAAGCCTGCTGCCCGGCCCGCTGCCGACCCAGGAAGAGATCGAGACGGCAACCGAGGCGCTCCCCACGATCCGAGACCCAACTTACGACGGCCGGATTGTGGTGATCAGGAATCTGTATGTGGTCAAATATGGCAACTTTGTGATGGAGAACGAAGGCCATGTGCTGCTCTACATCGAGCGCCACCTGTCGATTCCCGCACCGCGTCTGTACGCCATGTACCGGAAGGACGAAAAGCTGTATATCGTGATGGACTACATTCCCGGAGAAAACCTGCACACGCTCTGGCCGTCGCTGTCGACGGTCGAGAAGAGCTTCATCCTGGGCCAGCTACGCGCCATACTCGACAAGATGCGATCGCTGCCGGCCCCCGATTTCTTTGGCAGCGTCGCCAGAGGGCCGGTGCCGTACCGCTACTTCTACTCCAGAGATCAAAACCCAGCCGTCACCGGGCCGTTTGCAAACGAAGCGGACTTTAGCATGGCGCTCGCAGAGAAATCGCGGTTGAACTGGGCAGACACCAACCAGCCCGGATGGACGTCCAGGTTCTTCGCGCGCAATCTGCCCGTGGCACTCAAGGGCCATGACTGCGTGTTTACGCACTCCGACCTGCATCCGCAGAATATCATTGTTCAGCAACAGCAACAACCGGCCGACTCGCGGTCGACGATGAAGTATTATATCGTCCGCGCCATCATCGACTGGGAGACGGCCGGCTGGTACCCTTCGTACTGGGAGTACGCAGCGGCCTTTGCGCTTCTACAGTGGACGGACGACTGGCCGGAGAGTCTGGAGGCGGTTGTAGACCCTTGGCCGCTGGAGGCTGCCATGCTGAAGTTTGTGCACCGGGACCTGGAGCTGTAGACTCTGATCTTATTCGCATGGCTCCGTATTCCCGAATCTGAGCGTGTCTATCTGCTTTCATCTGGGCACTCCGGTCTGGAGTGATTCTCCTGAACGTGAAATGTACGAGACATGATCGAAAGCTCCTCAGTGCTGCTAGAAATCTGCAGCCAAATTGAAGTATCTTGACTTGTTCTTCCATTCGGCCGCCGAGTGGCCCCGTTGCCCCCTCCTGGATAGTTAGCCGGCTAATCTTTTGGACGATATCCGCCGTCGAACATAGAACTATATACTTCTATAACTATTTGAAGCAACTTGGCTCATCTCAACAGCAACTCGTAGCCCATTCCAATGCTTTTCCTTTGAAAATGATAGGATCAAACCCACCAGCCACTGACTACTACGACCTCGGCTCGTTCCACCGCGCGGTGACCACGGCCAGCACAGATACCCAAACCTGGTTCAACCGCGGCCTCGTCTGGTGCTATGCCTTCAATCACGAAGAGGCAGCCAGGTGCTTCGAGCATGCCATCGCAACGGACCCTGGCTGCGCAATGGCCTTTTGGGGCCTTGCGTACTCTCTCGGCCCAAACTACAACAAGCCCTGGCAGTTCTTCGAGGGCCGTGAGCTCGCCGCCACCGTGACCCGCACGCACGATGCAGTCACCCAGGCACGGGCAAACGCTTCCACGGCTTCACCCGTGGAGCAGTCACTCATCGCGGCACTTCAGCTCCGCTACCAGCAAAACCACCCTGCGGACGATTGCTCCATCTGGAACCGGGAATATGCCGCCGCGATGGGAACGGTGTACCACGACTTTCCGGACGACCTGGACGTTGCGACCCTCTACGCAGACGCGCTGATGAATCTGACTCCGTGGCAGCTGTGGGATCTGGCTACTGGCGAGCCCGCCCCGGGTGCGCGGACCATGGAAGTGAAGGCCGTGCTTGAACGTGCATTGGCGCAAGAGGGCGGGTTGGCCCATCCGGGCTTGTTACATCTATATATCCATCTGATGGAGATGTCAAATACCCCCGAGACGGCCTTGCCCGTCGCCGATCGGCTGCGTGGGCTGGTCCCGGACGCCGGCCATCTGCACCATATGCCGACCCATCTTGATATCCTCTGTGGTAACTACGGGCGCTCCATCGCCTCCAATTCGGATGCAGTCCGCGCGGATGAGAAATTCCTGGCACGCGCGGGCCCGCTGAATTTTTACTCACTATACAGGTCTCACGACTATCATTTCCTCATCTACTCCGCCATGTTCGCCGGGCAGTCGAAGATTGCCCTGGACACAGCGGCGCAACTCCAATCATCCTTGCCGGAGGAGCTGCTCCGCGTCGAGTCCCCCCCAATGGCCGACTGGCTGGAGAGTTTCCTCACCGTACGACTGCACGTCCTCATCCGCTTCGGACGCTGGCAGGAGATCCTCAGCCTCCCCGTCCCACACGACAAGGCGCTCTACTGCGTAACCACCGCAATGACCTACTACGCCAGAGGCGTCGCGCTCGCCGCGACGGGCAGAGTCGACGAGGCAGAAGCACAACGAACGCTCTTCTGCCAATCGCTTCCCAACGTCCCCGCGTCCCGCACCCTATTCAACAATAAATGCACCGACATCCTCGCCATCGCCGACGCAATGCTTGACGGCGAACTTGAGTATCGCCGCGGCCGGATCGATATTGCCTTTGGCCACCTGCGGCGGTCGATTGCTCTCGACGATACGCTCCCTTATGACGAGCCCTGGGGCTGGATGCAGCCCACGCGACATGCCTATGGTGCATTACTGCTTGAGCAGGGCTGTGTCGAGGAGGCTGCGGATGTGTATCGCGCCGATCTTGGAATTGACCAGACGCTGCCACGGGCTCGTCAACACCCGAAGAACGTGTGGGCTTTGCACGGCTACCATGAATGCCTGGTGAAGCTTGGGCGCCAGGCTGAAGCGCGGGTTGTTCGGGAACAGTTGGAGAAAGCAGCTGCGGCCGCAGATGTCCCCGTCAAGTCATCTTGCTTTTGTCGCGTAGACAGCGTTTGAGGTCTTTTATCAAGAATGACACATGGCTGCATCTAGGCCCGACCAGAACGTTCAAAATAACCCTTAATGTAATTATAAAATTCATCCATAAGCTCCCCCATGAACACGCCTAGACATATCCTAAAACTGCATTGGTACCTCCAAACTGAAACCAAGCCATATTAACGCTCTAAATCCCCTCCATGTACGGAGTAGTCCTAGCTACGATCGCGGGCGAAGGCCTACCGAATCGACCATTAGTCCAGTGGAAAAAGAAAGGGTTGATAAGGACACACCATAGCGCTCGGCCAATTCCCGCCCCAGGGGAGGATATGACGGCCGTATATCAATATCAAAGGCTGCTAGGATATGCAACCAGAAAAGTGTAAGGTTGATAGTCAGCCAGTTTGGCCTGTCTTCTCCCCACGGGATGATAGCTATTTCAACCGCTGATTCATTCACGTCTGGGTTTCCAGCGTCTGTATACAGTGATGCCCAACTGGCATGACGGACCGCCAATGGGCGCCGGTGCAGGGGACCATGCTGGCATTTCTGCGGCGCTTAGGCCTCTTCACCAGGATTCTCAAGCTCCAACAGCCATCTGCGCTCTGCCTTTCTCTCTGGAGATGAGAGCGGGGGTGGCCGTCTGAATGAGAACCCGATGTGATAGATCAACTCTGCTGAGTCATCCACCAGCTGCTCTGTGCTTGTTAACTAACTACTCGGATACTCCGTACTGGCGGCGAGCAGCAACGAGTCGAGCTCTGCCGCTGTCTGTTCATTTTGGACACGCTCTCTCCCCATGTTATTTCTAGAGGGCCGCGACTGGCTCCTCGTTTCAAATGGACCCTGCATATGACACCTGCTGGAAGATCTGGCTGGCTTATCAAGAGCGCATGTGTCCGTTTCTCCCGGACATCGGCCATATTTCCCCCAAGCTTGAATTTCTGGAGCTTCTAGCTGCAGCTGGCCATAGCTATATTGTCAAGGTCCGATTCGATGGCAATATCTTTGCCCTGAAGCTGGTATGTCGACATGGCTTTGAATCCTCTCCCAATGGCGCTGACATTGCCTCGTGTCAGTATACGCTTACACAACCACACTGGTCGCCTTCACGATTCGTGATAAATGCATTAGAAATGGATCCTTTTATCATCGAATGCCGTGTGTACGACAGTCTAATCGAGAACAATCTGACTGGAGTGGTCGGACCCTACTGCCACGGATGGCTGACCATCGATCGAGACCAAGAAGACGGGCTACAAATAGCCTTACGAAAGACCCTAAACTGGCGTCGGAGGTCAGACACAGATGACAGTCCCATTTGTGGACTACTGTTGGAATACGTCCACGGGTGTACACTCGAGAAGGCCTACATCACGCCTGCTGGGACTCAAAGCCTGCGAGAGCAATTGGGATATCTGCATTCCCTGGATATTATTCATGGGGACTTGTTTCCCCGGAATGTCATGGTATCTGAGGATGGCCGGGCCTTCCTCGTTGATTTCAGCTCTGCCTGTTTGTGGCCTACTAATCGCGCTATTGTTCGCAAAAGAGAAACTTTCGACGAATACAAAGAAGATGAGAAATCTATCCTCGAATTATTCTTTTTCAGGCTTCAGAATGTAAGCTTTCCCTTCCCTCGTTTGTTCTTCCTTACATCTCACTGCAAAACAGTTAAAACGCCATAGAGGGATGATTTTCACTAAAGCCCAGAGTGAAGAAGAAGCAATGGGCCGGCCGACCATAGAGTGGGAAAGGATTAACTATAGGTTTGATGAGTAAAGAAGCCCTAAACTAAAGGTTGTCGTATGCCCTGGCTTTACGAATGCCATCCACTCCTACAATCGAAGGTCTACACATACACCTAGCTTGGAATTCGCAGGTGACGAGCTCCAGATCTCAGCATTGTTTTCGGTTTTGACTATCCAACCCTTTTGACTGGCCGAGTTTGTTGCTAAAAGGGAGCCTTGACCTGGCAAGGATGAATCGCTTTGGAATAGCGAGAATGATATCAACACCCTCTGTTGATGTTTTGTCCCCACCTGAGTAGGCTGTAACAATGTAGCATTCCATGTAGCCAGGCTAACTCCATAATTAAGTGGAAGCCTAACTAACGCCTGGCACAGCCTAGTCTCTTGAGGCTGTGAGCAGCCGTGCCCTCAATAACATAGAGAGCTATTAATCACCGCTCGGTTTTCCTTTCTTCCCACCGGTCCAACTGTTTGGAAACAATTCAAGAAAGCAATGGCTACAACCGACGAAAGCATCCGAAAGACAAGCTACACTCCCAAACATGTAACCATTCCCGACTCATTCCTCACCACCACGCCGCCCGACGCCAAACCAATAATCGTGACCCCGATCGATTTCGCCGCCGCCTCATTGCCCCAATACAAAGACTACTACGCCGTCGTTCTCGACAACGTCCTCAGCCCGTCAGAATGCGCCCAGCTGCTGTCGCTCGCAGAGCAGAGCGTCAAGGAACCAGACCCAGAAACCGGCGATCCGTGGACGCCTGCCCTAGTCAGTTATGGAGTGGGCCTCGAGGCGCTGGTCACGGAGTACCGCAACTCGCACCGGATCATCTGGGATAATGACGAGGTTGCGCGCCGGCTGCTGGAGCGATGCTTCGAGGCGGAGGGGATGAGGGAGCGGTTGAGTGTCATTGCTGGAGAGCGGTGTCGAGGGGTCCTGGGCCGGTTGGGCGTGGAGCGGGGCCGGCGGTGGAAGATTGTGAAGCTGAACGAACGGCTGCGGTTTCTGCGGTATACCAGGGGGCAATTCTTCAAAGGTATGTGCCGGAAACAACAACGAGCAAGAAAGGGAAAAAAAAAAAAGTCAAAGGGGGAAACGTGAAAAAGAGCTGATGGAGAAATCAAAACAGCCCACTGCGATGGGAGATATATCACAGGAAACCAAGAGACAAAGTACACCGTGCAGTTCTATTTCAATGATTCTACGAATGAGAGCGATGACCCGAACACGCAGCTCGTCGGGGGCGCCACGACTT